GCATCCAGGCCTTGAGTTCAAGCACCAGCTGGTGCGGGGAGGGGGGGTAGAGAGGGGGGAAGTAGCTAAGGTACCTCCAAATGCACCTGCAGCACTGGTCCAGAAACCACATACTGGTGCAACAACCCAGTCCTGGCTGTCAGGATGACAGGACAATCCCCTCCAATACATCCAGGATTATTCACAGCTGATGTGGCTATGGGTGCTACTCATTCCACTACTCCTGGCTCTGTACCATAGCCTCTATAAAATACTTCTTTATTGTCCTTCTTTATTGTCCACTGGCTCTGGAGATAATGGCCAGGGACATTGTGTCTAGCTGATCCTACATTATGTACTTGCTCTCATTTGCAGGTTGAGAAAGTAGACTTTTCTTTCTTCCCTTCCTTTCCCTTCCTTTCTCTTCTTTTCCCTTCCTTTCCCTCCCTCCTTCCTTTCCTGCCTTCCTGTTGGTGCCAGTACTGGGGCTTGAGCTCAGAACCTCACATTCTCACTTAGATTTTTACTGAAGTCTGGCACTCTACAACTGAGCTACACCTTTACTTCAACTTTTTTGCTGGTTATTTGGAGGTAAGAGTCTACAGAATTTTCTTTTATGGGGAGTTGGTCATGGGGCTTGAACTCTGGGCATGGGTGCTGTCCCTGAGCTATTTGGCTCAAGGCTAGCACTCTACCACTTGAGCCTCAGCACCACTTCCAGTTTTCTGAGTAGTTTATTGGAGATCAGAGTCTCATGGACTTTCCTACCCAGAATGGCTTTGAACCTCGATCCTCAGATCTTAGCCTCCTGAGTAGCTAGGTTTACAGGTGTGAGTTTCATGAAAGTCCATGAAACTCTTATCTCCAATAAACCACTAGAAAACCAGAAGTGGCGCTATAGCTCAAGTGGTAGAGTTTCGTGGACTTTCCTGCCCAAGCTTTGAACTGCAATCCTCAGATCTCAGCCTCCTGAGTAGTTTAGGATTACAGGCGTGAACCACCGGCACCCGGCTCAAATATTTCTTTTGGAAGCTTGTCCCTCCCACAATGAGTTCTCAGAGCTTTTTCACTCAAGGTCAGTGCTCTGCCACTTGAGCCACAGTTCTACTTTCAGCTTTTTCTTTTTTTGGTTATTTGGAGATGAAGAGTCTCATGAACTTTCTTGCTCACCTGGCTTTGAACCTCTATCCTCAGATCTTAGCTAGCATTACAGGTGTGAGCCACGGGCACCTGACTTAAAGCTTTATATCTTGTAATAATCATTCCTTTTTATTTACATATAAGATGGTTTTTAGACTTCAGCGGCTAAACTGAGTAGTTGTAATAGAGATTGGCTTACCAAGCCTAAAGTAGCTGGGCACTGGTGGCTCACACCTGTAATCCTAGCTACTCAAGAGGCTGAGATCTGAGGATCACAGTTTGAAGCCAGCCCAGGCACCAAAGTCCAAGAGACTCTTATCTCCAATATTGAGCACTGTGCCTTGAGCAAAAGCTCTGGGAGAGCACCTAGGCCTTGAATTCTAGTCTTAGGACCTGGAGAGAAAAAGCCTAAAGTATTGGTTATCTGGCCTTTCACCAAAAAAAAAAAAAAAAAAAAAAAAAGTTTGTCAGTTTCCTGCTACAGGAAAGAGCTATGCCAGCCTGAGGCAAGGAAGCCAGGAAATTTATTCACCAACTTCTTCCACCTTCCAGCTATCTATTCTAGGCTTTTGCTTGGGCCATGCCAAGGCTGCTATGTTTATTCTTGATATTATTATTGAGTCTTCCGCTCTTTGTTCATCTGATGATGCTGAATTGAATCCCAGCGGTCACTATTTACTTTACATATTGTGATACCATGTAAATATCTTCCATTACTGAGCTGATCATCTCCAGGATTACATTTCCTTTCTTGAACTATTTCCAGTTACCTTTGGAAACAATATTTGATACCTTTTCAGAATGCATGAAATCTGTTCTGTATAAAAGAATCTGTGTATGATCTATCTGCTGTACTTACTACCTAACCCAAGAACTGGATTAATACTAATTACTTATGTGTGCCCCACTCCTCTCTTCCCAGCATATAATATAGTGTTTATTATTCCACTGAAAAAAAAAGCCATGTAGACAGCTCCACACTTATAACTCTAGCTACTCAGGAGGCTGTGATCTGAAGATCATGATTCAAACCAGCCCAGACAATTACCTCCAATTAACCATCAAAAAACCAAAAGTGGAGCTAATGGACAGTATTTAGTCCCTGAGTTCAAGCCCAAGCACTGTCATTAAAAAAAAAAAGCAGGGGCTGGGAAGGTGGCTCAGTGGTAGAGCGCTTGCCTTGCATGCATGAGGCCCTGGGTTCGATTCCTCAGCACCACATAAGCAAAAAGAAAAAAGCCGGAAGTGGCGCTGTGGCTCAAGTGGTAGAGTGCTAGCCTTGAGCTGAAGAGCTGAGGGACAGCGCCTAGGCCCAGAGTTCAGGCCCCACGACTGGACCTCCCCCCTCCCCCCCAAAAAAAGCCAGGCACCAGTGGTTCAAGCCTATAATTGTAGCTACTCAGGAAGCTGAGATCTAAGGATCTCAGTTCGAAGCCAGCCCAAGCAGGAAGGTTGTGAGACTCTTTAATTTGTCACAGAAAAAGCCAGAAGTGGTGCTGTGGCTCAAATGGTAGAGTACTCGGGCTGGGAAGGTGGCTCAGCGGTAGAGGCTTGCCTTGCATGCCTGAGGCCCTGGGTTTGATTCCTCAGCACCACATAAGCAAAAAAGAAAAAAGCTGGAAGTGGTGCTGTGGCTCAAGTGGTAGAGCGCTAGCCTTGAGCTGAAGAGCTGAGGGACAGCGCCCAGGCCCAGAGTTCAGGCCCCACGACCAGACCCCAAAAAAAAAAAAAAATGGTAGAGTACTCATGGACAGTGCCCAGGCCCCAAGTTCAAACACCAGGATGGGAGAAAAAATTGTAAACATATATTTGATTAAAGCATGCTTTGTTCAGTTGTGATTGTTTATGGGCTCTATTAAAAATGGTATCTATTTATAGTGTAATCTTCCAGGAGTTATGATCTTCAGGAAACATTAAATTTCTAAGATTCTTCTACATGACAGTGTGTTTTTGAGAGAACTGCTTGCTATTATTAGAAACTACAGGGGGAAAAACCCAAATAAAGGACTGGAGGAAGGAAACACAATCCTAATGACCACTGGCTTTGTATGAATGACCTTCCAACAGCCCAGCACTGTCTCCTCTTTCAGCACCTTCTCCTCCTCCCATTTTCAAGGTTTAGTCTCTAATCTGGTGCCCTTAGCATACCTGATTTTCTGAGAAAGGCACTTGTGTCTGTCAGGGCTAGAGAATGTTTCACTAAACGCTCCTTGCTGTGACAGCCATGGGGGTCAGGTACACAGCTCTGGGCATAGGGGCCACATTCTCCACCTGTGCACAGGAGCAGAGAAGCTGGCAGGCGTGTGGAGAACGGACAAGATGCTCATCAAGAAGAGATGGGTCAGAGCCTTCTCAGAATTCCAACTATTCCTGAAGTCTAGTTATGCAAGTGACCTTAGGATTCAGAGTTAATGGCCCTTTGCTTAATCTAACTGCAGTTGCATTTCATCCTTTGCTGCCAACTACATGCAGGAATACCTCCAGAAATCAGCCTTTGTTTTGGGTCCTTCTGTTCACTAGTGAGACTTCATAAAAACAACTTAAAATCAGTCATCTAGCCAGGCCAGCTCTCACGTGTAATCCTAGCTACTCAGGAGGCTGAGATCTGAGGCTCCAGATTAAAAGCCAGCTGTGGCAGGAAAGTCCATGAAACTTTTATCTCCAATTAACCACTAAAAAACTGGAAATGGAGCTGTGGCTAGTAGAGGGCTAGCACAAAAAGCTCAGGGACAGTGCTTAGGCCCTGAGTTCAAGGGTTAGGATAGGTATGCACACATGCACACACACACACACACACACACACACACACACACACACACACACACACACACACACACAGAGTAGAGAAAAGGCTAAAAGAATCATCTAAAGTTGGGAGTTTGTGACTCACACTTGTAACCCTGGCTCCTTATGAGGACAAGAGCTGAGGATCATAGATCAAAGCCAGCCAGAGATGAAAAGTCTATGAGACTCTTATCTCTTATTAACCAGCAAAAAGCCAAAAGTAGAAGTGTGGCTCAAATGGTGGAGCACCAGCCTTGAACAAAAAACTCCAAGCAAGAGCACAAGGCCCTCAGGATAAGTCCCGGTACCAACACACAGACACACACACACACACACACACACACACACACACACAACACACACCTCAGAATGTGTCTTCTCTTCTCTGGTGCTGAAAAGGGAAGAAATAAAGTACACAGAAGAAGAATTAGACAGAAGTGAGTAGAGATGGAGAGAGAAAAGGGTTCAGGAAAGTGTGAGAAGGCTTATAGAGGCATCTTTGGATGATGCATCTGAGTTAGATGCAGAGTAAAGGTGTTTTCCTCCCTCCCCTGCTCCATCAGTGAAGATTTGGGGTTGGGGTTAGGGCAGAGGAAGGACACAGGAAGACAAAGGGAGGACTCTCAGAGATGCCCACTGGGGCAAGGAGAAGCAGAAGCTGGAGGGAGACTCAGATCCACAGCTGTAGGCTAGGGTTTGAGGAACAGAGTTTCCAGAAAGGCTTGCAATTGAAGCCGTGGATCCCCTCCCCCGTCTCTCAGCTCCCCAGGAATATTCCACGGCAGTTAGAGGCCCTGACCTGCAGAATGGGCTGAGGGCTTCTGTTGGGTCCTGAGCTCAGGTGTTGGATATGAGTACTTCTCCTCGCATTCTTTCCCAGACACCAGACCCTTTGGTAGAAACTGATCTGTCCCCTGAGAATATTCGGAGGAGGAGGGGCAAGTGCGCAGGGCAAGGAGAGGGGGCTGGGAGTTGGGGTGAATTCAGGAGCCAAGGGGTATATTCCCCAAGGGGCAGAAGAAGAAGACCTGGGAAGGAAGGGGGAGAGGCTGGATGGCAGGAGGAATGAAAGAGAGAGAGTCTGGCACTAAAGGAGGATGCAGACCCCTGTCCCTTCTTCCAACAGCCACAGCTGGCCCAGAGAACGTCAGTACTCTCAACTGCCCTTCCTGCGGAGAGTTACACACACCTTCCGCTGGCTGGCACAAGTGGCAGCGGCAGAAATCAGCCTGCTGGCCTTTATTCTGCTTCTGCTCATGGTCTTCTCCAAGCAGTGGCTGTACCCCTCTAGGAGCCGCTTCTTTCAGCGCTGCCCTGAGAATGTCACCAACACAATCTACAGCTCAGTGTCTATCATGTCCATGGGACTCATGTACCTCTGCAAATCGAAGAGCTGTGCCAATGCAGGCAGAGGTGAGCCCTCCCCCAGCCCGAAGCTTCCAGCCAGTTTGCACCTGGGGGGGATGGGTGAGAGGGACCACCTGCCCTTGTCCTCCTCTCTCCAGTCATCATTTTGTCCTGCAAGATGGTGCTCTATGGATACTAAGACCTACAAAGGCAGTTGGTTTTCTTCTTCCAGTATGGTCAAATAGAGTTGTTAATGGGAAAATGTCACCCCACATTAGATAAGTCCCAGAGGCAGCACTCTGCTTCTAAAAAAAAAGACCTGTGTGTGTGGTCTGCGTGTGTGCCAGATTGAGACTTGCGCTTGGGCCTGAGCACTGTCCCTTAGCATTTTCTGTTCAAGACTGGCATTCTACTACTTGAACCACAACTCCACTTCCATTTTTTTTTTTTTTGCCAGTCCTGGGGCTTGACCTCAGAGCCTGGGCATTGTCCTTGAGCTTCTTTTGCTCAAAGCTAGCACTCTACCACTTGAGCTACCACATCACTTCCAGCTTTTTCTGTTTATGTGGTACTGAGGAATCAAACTCAGGGCTTCATGGATGCTAGGGAAGCACTCTACCACTAAGCCACATTTCCAGCCCACTTCCATCTTTGTTTTTCTTTTTTGGTATTAGTCCTGGGGCTTGAACTCATGGCCTAGATGCTGTCTTCCAGCTGCTTCTTCTTCCTCCCTCCCTCCCTTCCTTCCTTCCTCCCTCCCTTCCTTCCTTTCCTTCCTTCTCCTCTTCCTCTCCCTTCTTTTGCCATTTCTGGGGCTTGAACCTAAGCTCCTTTTTGCCCAAGACTAGCACTGTACCAGTTAAGCCACAGAGCCACTTTCAGCTTATTCTGTGATTTATTAGAGATAAAACTCATGCATTTTCTTGCCTAGGTTGGCTTCAGACCATGCTACTCAGATCCTAGCCTCCAGAGTAGCTAGGATTATAGACGTGAGCCTCCAGCACCCAGTTAACCTGAGTTTCTTTTGCTCAAGGCTAGCATTCTACTAGAAGCTCCACTTTCAGCTTTTTTTTTGGTTGTTGTTTGTTTCAATTCAGGTCCTGGGCACTGTTCTTGAATTTTTTTACTCAAGGCTAATGCTCTACTACTTTGAGCCGTAGTACCACTTCCAGTTTCCTGGTGGTTAATTGGAGAGGCTCACAGACTCTTTCCCAGGCTGACACTGAACCCCTATCCTCAGATCTCAGCCTCCTGAATAGCTAGGATGACAGGTGAGAGCCATCAGTGCCCAGCTACTTCTAGCTTTTTGCCTGTAATTAGAGATAAGAGTCTTACAGACTTTCTTGCCCAAGCTGCCTTAGAACTGTGATCCTTACCTCTCAACCTTCTGAGTCACAGGCATGAGAAATGGGCGCTCAGAAGAGAGATGCGTTTGAATCACACAGGACATGTGAGAGAAGAGCCAGGTGCGAGCAGAGGAGAGCATTTCCTTCCTCTTGGCTTGAATACCCACAGTATTGGGTGGGATATCCTGGAATACTCTTTCCTAATCAAAGCCCTGGTCCCAGCCACTTCCTGTGCCTCTGCCTCCAGGCTTGCTTCTCTGGACCACCTCTGGCTCCAAGGAATTTCCCTTTTCTGTCTAGTGTCTGCTCCTTGCTTTCTTGAACTTTTACAACTGCTTATTTCCTGAAGTGAGTCTCATCTCTCCCCAACTCTTAGAAGTTGAGCCTCTTTTCTCAGTTCCAGGGAAACTAAAGGTTTAGACACCCATTTCTGCATGTTCATTCCCCTGAGCATAAAAGAAAAAAAGCATAGGGCTATTAATTTCTTCTACTATGAAAAACAACCCAGCCTTAGAGCAATACATTTAGGGAAAAGTATCATTTATTGGATACTTAATTTGTTCAATTAAATCTTTACTTATTGCTAAGAGATTTTTTTTTTGTTGTTGTTGATTGTGGGGCTTGAACTCTGGGCCTGAGCGATGTCCCTCAGCTCTTCAGCTCAAGGCTAGGGCTCTACCACTTGAGCCACAGCGCCACTTCTGGTTTTCTGGTGGTTTATTGGACATAAGAGTCTCAGGGTCTTTCCTGCCCAGGCTGGCTTTGAACTGTGATTCTCAGATCTCAGCCTCCTGAGTAGCTAGGATTAGAGGCGTGAGCCACAGGTGCCCAGCTGAGATACAATTCTTGTGTAAGTACTAAGGCTTGAACTCAGGGTGTCATGCTTTTGTTGGCTTTTATTCATCTTTAGTGCCTGTCTTGGGGCTTGAACTCAGGGCTTGGGTTCTGTCCCTGAGCTTTTTTGCTTTTTCATAAGGGTAGTGCTCTACCACTAAGCTACAGCTCCACTTCTAGCTTTTTTGTTGGCTAACTGGAGATAAGACAGACTTTCCTACCTGGACTGGTTTTGAATTGTGATCCTCAGATCTCAGAAGTTGGAATTTATAGGCTTAAATCACCTGCCCTGGGTTTGCTTAGCTTTTTCATTCAAGTCTGGCTCTCTGCTACTTGAGCCATATCTCTACTTCTGATTTTTTCTATTTATATGGTACAGGGCTTCATGCATCCTAGGCAAGCACTCTACCACTAAACCACATTCCCACTCCTACTGCTGGCTTTTATTCCCCACCTCCAACAGAGCCTGTTTCACTTTCCTCTGTGTGGTGTGTGTGTGTGTGTCATGTGAATGTGTCTGTATATACTGAGGCATTGTCCCTTAGCTTTTTCACTTAAGTGTGGTGCTCTAGCATCTGAACCACAGCTCTATTTTTGTCTTTTTGGTGTTTAATTGAAGAAAAAAGTCTCACCGACTTTCCTGCTCAGGCTGACTATGAACCTCTAGCCTCTGCTCTCAGCCTCTTGAGGAGGTAGGATTGCAGGCATGAGCCACCAGCACTCAGCTATTCTTGGTTTATTTAGCAAGTGAAAACATTGTTTTATTTATTTATTTATGTCGATCATGGGGCTTGAACTCTGGGCTGGGCGCTATCCCTTAGCTCTTCAGCTCAAGGCTAGCGCTCTATCACTTGAGCTACAGGGCCACTTCCGGTTTTCTGAAGATAAGAATTTCAGGGACTTTCCTGCCTGGGCTGGCTTTGAACTGCCATCCTCAGATCTCAGCCTCCTGAGTAGCTAGGATTACAGGCGTGAGCCACTGGTGCCCAGTGAAAACATTGTTTTATTATTATAGCAAGTGTCCAGTCTTTGGTGATGAGTGGGCCTGAACATTTTTTTAATTTTGTATATTTGCTCATCTTTTGTAAATCTTGAGTTCATCTGTTTTTATTGTTTTCCCCAGACAGTTATAATCTGTTGACACATCACCCAATCTTTTTGGTGGCCATGATGACCTTCCTTCTGGCCTTGGCCCTGGGTTTCATCCTCACCATCTGGTTGCACCTGCCCTATCTGCCTCATCTGCAGAGTTTGCCTAACTTCAGCTTGATTGGGACCATCCTGAGCTTTTGTGAAGGTGCCTTCCCCGCCACCCCCAAGCTCTGAAGAAGGACCTCCGTTCTTCCTGACACTCCTTTTCTGTGTGTGGGGCTATCGGGCAGGGTGGTGGTGGTGGTGGTGGTTAGAGGAGGTGGGAAAAGAGAACTGAAAATCAAATTACATTACTTCGTGGCCACTGGGAGGTGGGGGTGATTCCACAGTGGAGTCCTTGAATCTGTGTGTTGGTGGGAGCCATGGCTGGTGTCTCTGGCCTTGCAGACAATGTTGAATCTCTTGTGGGATTTCTCAATGAGACTCAGGCCTCTGCTTTCTATCTCCCAGTCATTTTCATCTTCGTCATGCTCCTGCTGTTTCCCATTAACCTCTGGATCTTTGAGTTGAAGAGAAATGTCTCCATTCCTATTGGCTGGAGCTATTTCATTGGTTGGCTGGTGTTTATCCTGTATATCATCTGTGGTGAGTGGATAGGAGGAGGCCTGGGGGAAGGAGGACAGGGGAGAAGGAAGGGAAAACTCTCAGGGACTTAATGGTCCCTCCTCTCAACCTGCTTGTCAATCTTTTGTTTTTGGTCATGGGGCTTGAACTCAGGGCTCTGTCCCTGAACTCTTTTTCTCAAGGTTAGCAGTCTACCACTTTGAGCCACAGCTCCACTTCTGGGTTTCTAGAGGTTCATTGGAGTTAAGAAGTCTCATGGAATTCCTTTCCAGAGCTGGCTTTGAACCGCCATCCTCAGATCTCAGCCTCCTAAGTAGCTAGGATTAGGTAGTGATGAGCCAACAGGACCCAGCTCTGCTTGTCAATTTTATTCCAACTTTCTTCTTCCTGCTCTCCTGGTCTCTGTTCTTCCCCAGGAATCCTTTGCTATCTCAACCACAAAAATTTCTGGAGTCTCATTCTGAATGATATCTCTGTGAAGATTCCGTGCGTTGGCAATTCTGGCATATTGGGAGAGTCCCTGAGTGACCAAGAGCGGAAGACTTTTTCAGACACTTCCAGCTGCAAAGACGAAGTCCTGAATCAGCCACACAATGAACAGCCACCAGTTTCTGACCACTCGACTCAGACTTACAGTTCACTCACACAATCCTTGGTGTAGGCTGGTTTTCATCATAATAGGGACTAAACAAAAGAAAATTGAAGCCATGTTTCCACTCTCCTTGTCCCTGCCTTATCTGTAGCTTGAATGATGTAGAATAAATTGTCTATATCTTCTTTCTTGCACCTGGCAATCATTTAGGTGAACTGGAGAAGGAAGGAGAAAGGGAGATGAAGGGAGAAAGATTGAGTTTGTTTTCCAGTTCTTATTGCCTAGGAATCTTTTGGCATCCGTTGGTCTCTAAACCTGCCCAACCTGTACACAGGAAAATACTTCTTCAGTCAGGCTAAGGAGGCTCATGCCTGTAATCAAGCTACACAGGAGGTTGAGATCTAAGGATCTAAGTATGAAGCCAGTTAGACAGCAAAGTTTCTGAGTCATGTCTCCAATTAACTACCCAAAAGGTGGAAGTAGAGGTATGGCTCAAGTGGTAGAGCAACAGCCTTGAGTTAAAAAGCTAAGGGATAGTGCCCAGGCCCTCAGTTCAAGCCCTAGTACATATCACACATACACACACGCACACGCGCGCGCGTGCACGCACACGCACACGCAAACACACACACACACACACACACACACACACACACACTGCAAGTCCTGGGGCTTGAACTCAGGGCCTGAGCACTGTCCCTGAGCTGCTTCTGCTCTAGCACTCTACCACTTGAGCCACAACACCACTTCTGGCTTTTTCTGTTTATGTGGTGCTGAGAAACGGAACCCAGGGCTTCATGTGTGCTAGGCAAGCACTCTAACACTAAGCCCCATTCCCAGCCCCCTATATACAATTTTTATATTTTGGTTATAAACCAAGATTCACAAAGACACAAGGCAGCCAGCTTGGGTACTGAGATGTAGACATCTTGCTCAAAGAGTGCTTGCCTAGTCGAATACCTGTGATTGATCTTTGTCTTGTGTGAACATTTGCCACAGATTGTTAATAGATTAGTAATATTATAGGCTTATGCCTATAATCCTAGCTACTCAGGACTCTGAGATCTGAGGATTATGGTTTGAAGCCAGCCTGGGCAGAAAAGTCTGCAAATCCATGAGACTCTTACCTCCAATTAGTTACCAAAAAGCTAAAAGTGAAGCTATGGTCATAGTGGTAGAGTTGACCAAAAAAGAGTTGAGTAGCTTTGAGCAAAAGAGCTTAGGGTCATTGATCAGTCCTGAGCTCATTCCTCAGGACCAATACAAAAAAAGCAAAAGGGGGAAAAGCATATAATATAGACTAGGTACCAGTGGCTTACACCTATAATTCAAGCTACTCAGGATACTGAGATGTGAGAATTGAAGCTTGGAGCCAGCTCAGGAAGACAGAGCCACAAGACTCTTATCTCCAAGTTAACCATCAAAAAGTTAGACTAGAGGCTCAAGTGGTAGACTACCAGTTGTGTATGAAAAAGCTGATCAAGAACACAAGGCCTTGAATTCAAACTCCCATACTGGCATATAAAGAAATGGAAACTGGGTGCTGGTGGCTCATGCCTATAAGCCTAGCTACTCAGGAGGCTGAGATCTAAGGATCGTGGGTCAAAGCCAGCCCAGGCAAGAAAGTCAGGGAGACTCTTATCTCCGATAAACTACTCAGAAACAGCTGGAAATGGCACTGTGGCTCAAGTGGTAGAGCATTAGCTTTGAGCACAAAGAGGCTCAGGGACAATGCTCAAGTCCAAAGTTCAAGCCCAGGATGGGCAAAAAAAAAAAGTGTATTATGGTATGGTATGTTGGTGCATGCTTGTAATTCCAGCAAGTGCTCTACCAGTCAAGCTGCTAGGACTTAGAGATTGGAGGATCATAGTTTGAGAGGCAGCTTGGGCAAGAAGTTATTGAGACCCCATCTCACCCAATAAGTTGGGTGTTTTTTTTTTTTTTTTTTATTTGCAGGTACTTTTTTTTGTTTGTTTTTGTGGGTTTTTTTTTTTTTTTGGGTCCAGTCGTGGGGCCTGAACTCTGGGCCTGGGCGCTGTCCCTCAGCTCTTCAGCTCAAGGCTAGCGTTCTACCACTTGAGCACAGTACCACTTTTGCCTTTTTTCTTTTTGCTTATGTGGTGCTGAGGAATCGAACCCAGGGCCTCAGGCATGCAAGGCAAGTGCTCTACCATTAAGCCACCTTCCCAGCCCCAGAACTTCATTTTCCTTAAGGTGAATACTAGTCAGAATGTGGTATGTACATCCTGACTATCTGTATTCCATTAATTCACTGATAAGATCAATGATCTCTATCCCATTAATCAGCATTGGATATCTGAGCTATTTCTAAATCTTTTGGCTATTGTCGGTGATGCTATTGTGAAAGTAGGTCATATATTTTTAATTTGTGATACTGGGATTTGAGCACTACTCCCTCCATTTGCTAAGTGCTCTAAGCATTTCACCACATTTCCAGGCCCTTTTCAACTTCCAGCCCATCTTCTGTTACTTTTTTTTTTTTTTTTTTTTTTTTGTGTTGGTCCTGGGACTTGAACTCAGGGTCTGAGTGGTGTCTTGTGCTTTTTTGCCTCAGGCTAGTGCTCTACCACTAGAGACTCACCTCTACTTCCAGCTTTTTGCTAGTTAATTGGAGCTAAGAGTCTCACAGACTTTCCTACTTAGGCTGGCTTTGGACCTCAATCCTCAGATTTCAGCTTCTTGGATAGGTAGCTAGGATTATAAGTGTGTGCCACTAATATCTGGCTTATAATTATTTTTTTCTCTTTTTTGTCAGTTGTGGGGCTTGAACTCTGGGCCTGTCCACTGTCCCTCAGCTATTCAGCTCAAGGCTAGCGCTCTACCACTTGAGTTACAGCACTACTTCCGGTTTTCTGGTGGTTTATTGGAGATAAGAGTTTCATGGACTTTCCTGCCTGGACTGGCTTTGAACAGTGATCCTCAGAACTCAGCCTTCTGAGTAGCGAGGATTACAGGCGTGAGCCACCGGTGCCTGGCTTGGCTTATAATACTTTTTGTGTGTGTTGGTCCTGGTGCTTAACCTCAGGGCTTGGGCACTGAGCCTGAGCTTTTTTGCTCAAGGCTAGTGCTCTACCACTTGAGTCACAGCCAGCTCCACTTCCAGTTTTTTTGTGTGTGGTTAATTGAAGAGTCTCATGGATGGGGTTGGAGGAGTGGTTCAGGTGGTAAGAGTACCAGCAATGAGTGAAAGTGTCAGATACTGGGTTTTAGTCTTAGTCTTGAACCTCCCTTCATCCCCCAAAAGAAAAGCCTCATAGACTTTCCTGCCCCAGCTGGCTTCCAACTACAGTTGGAATTATACATACATACATACATACATACATACATACATACATATATATATATATATATATATATATATATATATAATTTTAGGCCAAAGACTTTGGTAAAGTCATTTATTTTCCTACGGTAATCACTAATAGTGTTCACAAACAAATTTTCAGCTTTCTGCCCTGTGGGAGTATACTAAGATTACAACTTTGGGCTCCTTTGTGCTGTGGGGGGTGCAAGACGAGTGCTGGCCAATGAATGATGACATTCCTCTGGTCTGATCAGAGCATTTTACTGTGGGTGTGAGTCCCCTTCAACACAGAAACTAACAAACTCAAGCTGGTTATGGATTATTTGTTGCCTTGGGTATTAGAATGAGATGTAGAGCGGGGGCTTTGTCTGATCCATGATGGTTGTCCAGTGTTGTGGACTGAATTGGGCCCTGGAAAACTGCTATTGATATTCAGAGATGGGGCTTTAAGGAAATAATTATGGCTAATGAGATAATAATGATGGGGACCTGATCTGATCTGGGTCCCTGTAAAAGAGAACCCTAGAGTGCTTTCTGCCTCTGTTTTTTTCTCTCTGTCTCTGTCAATGTGTCTGTCTCTGTCTCACTGTCTCTCGCTGAATATGAACCAAGGAAGGGTTATATGAGGACACAGTTACATGGCAACTGTTTTCAAGCTAGGAAGTGTCTCCAGAAAGTGAATTGGCCAGAACCTTGACCTTGAATATCTTGCCTCCAGACAGGAGAAAATTAATTCAGTTGTTTAGCAACTATATAAAGTTTTGTTATTGCAGCCTGAGCAGCCTGAGACATGTAGTCTCTTTTATTTTTCTGTGTTGAGATAGGACCTCACTTTGTAGTTTAGGCTGATCTTGAACTCATGGCTCTCCTGTCTTGGAGATGTGTACCACCATGCTGGACTGATGCAGTTTTAGTTATCACAGTTATGAAGAATGAATTTAGCTTGGTTATTACAAGCTACTAAACTTTTAAGGTTATTAATAAATAACCTTATTTAGCACAAGGAAGAATATTCTGATTGACAATGCCTTTGGCTAAAGGGAAGAGAGAAAGATATCAAGCCAAAGCAGTTTTGCTTTATAAAGGCAACTCCAGCTGGGCGCAGGTGGCTCACGCCTATAATCCTAGCTACTCAGGAGGCTGAGATCTGAGGATCGAGGTTCAAAGCCAGCCTGAGCAGGAAAGTTGGTGGGACTCTTATCTCCAATAAACCACTAGAAAACCAGAAGTGGCGCTGTGGGCTCAAATGGTAGAGCGCTTGCCTTGAGCTGAAGAGCGCAGGGACAGCGCCCAAGCCCAGAGTTCAAGCCCCATGACCACCACCACCACCAACAACAAAAAGACAACTCCAGCCCTCAGCAGAAAAGTTCACTAGATTGTATGTCCAAAATAACTAGCAAAAATCATGGCTGGGGGCATGGTTGGGGGGCAGAGCACCAGGCTAGCAAGGGTGAGGCCTTGACTTCAAACCCCAGGACTGAAAAATAAATAAAAATTAAAATAATCTGATCATATCCCTGCCCCCAAATCTGTTGCTCTTTCTTCCCCTCACCCCCCTTTCATTGTTCTTGCACAAGGAGAAAGACAGAGAGGTGCTGCCCTGAGGGCTGGGTACAGCAAGGAGGAGAGGGAAGGGCCTGGCCTCAGACAGGCTCACCATCTGTGCAAACCTAGAGGAAAGGCTCTGCATCCGCCCAGCACTTGCCCTGTGGAGTGAGGGGAAGTGCGTAAAAGTGAAAAGAAA